TGCATGAAGCACTGGAACTTGCTTTTCTCGTCATGCCGCAGACTTTCAATTCGTCTGTAGCTCCACGCCCGATATAAGTGCCATGCCACGCCTGTGCTGTGGCCATGATGGGGAGCCGTGCGTCTTTTCAACGAGCCGGGCCAGGCAGCGGGCGCAGGCGAAGGGACAGGCAGCCTTCTGTCGTCTTTGTGATCTTGAGCTTCTCGAGGAGAGCCTTGGCAAGGCGGCCTCGAAGGGCCAGTTGCTGGGGCAGCTTCGAACACTCCATGCCTTAGACCCGGACGTCTTCGATCTGGCACTGGCTCGTATTGGCGAGGTGTCCCCGCATGTGGAGGAGATCGAACGCCTAGCGGGAGCGCCCCCGCTGTCTGTCGAAGATCAATGGCGGGTTTGTTTGAAGAAGCGCAAGCGCCTCAGAGCTTCTCCCTCGCGCGAGGAGCGCAGGAGTTTCTGCCGGAAGGTTGAGAAAGACCGCACGCGCGTGCGCCTCAAGTTCTTCCCCGAGAAGCACCGTCGAATCCCGCATTCGGGCCATCTTTGGCGACATCGCCTGACGCAAAGTGTCCAGGCACATGTGCGCGACGTGGCCTCCAATGACACCGGCCTGCCTGCCGCCCACCTGACCAACAATGCCGCCATGGTGGAGAAGTGGTGCAAGTGGGGTTCCTGGACCATCTGCCCTACCTGCCATTCCGTGCAGCCTCGGCACATGAAGAACATCGATGCGCGCCGACTGGCGGGTCCTCATCACGCATTGCGTGACTGCAGAGCCTGCAAAGCCGCCGGCGGGCGCAACAGCGGCGTCGCCACCGTTGCCGCGGTTCCTCGGGCGCTCCACAAGCTCAATGCCCGCATCGTGCAGGCCCTGCGACCCCTGGATGTGGACTGCGGGCCGGTGCAACGAGCTCCCCAAGGCTACCGCATACACACCAGCATGATCCGCTTCAGCTGGTCCGGCGACTCTGTCACCGACAAGATCCGGGCGTTGGAGCACGACGCAGAGAGAACGAAGGCCCTGGAGGCGTACGACTTCCTCATGCAGCACGAGGGCACCGCGTACGGCACGTTCGTGCGGCGGCATCAGGAATTCCTCCAACGCCACCCACACCCGACAGCTGCGGAGCTTCGGCGGCCGCTGCAATTCATCGAGGAGCTCGGCTTGGAGTGCGCGCTTTGGCCCGACCTGTACACCGACCTGGCGGCTTGTGAAACTTATGAACGAGCTACGGACATGCGGCGCCAGCAGCGGAACCCGGACATCGACGACGGGGAGTCTGAGGATTCGTCGCAGCCCGTCGGGCGACACAGCCTGAAGAGGAGCTTCCTGCTCAAGGCGCTGGGGCCCGTCTTGGACTATGCTGCCGATTACGAGCTCTTGCAGTTCGTGTTCGACCTCTCGGTCTGGTCCGACCTCGGTGGCAAGAGAAATGTGCGCCAGGACGTGCCGATGCGCATTCTCCTCAAAGGATGTCCCTTTGTGCCGTCCTACTGGGCTGTTCGTCACGCAGCTCTTCTCGACCTGCAACGCCAAGGCCTGCGGCCGCTGGTCTTCAAGACTTGGGCACCGTACGAGTGGCGCCGGCCTCAGTTGCTTTTTGCGAATCTTCTTTATGCTTGTAGTGTGGCATCTGACTGACTTGCACGCTTGCCTAGGAGTGCTCCGTATCATGGCTGGCTCCTGCACCACATGCGCCACGTGCATCGTCACCGACAGCACTTGGCGGGCCCGGAGACGCTCCATCTTGCCCATCTGCTGACGGAGCTCTGTCGGGAATGGGCGGC